AACATCACATTACAAAAAAATCCTCAAAGAGTTTCAAGTGGCAGTGCACGTGGAATTTTCTTTTCGAGTAATCGGTAAAACTCCTAAATAGCATTGTTTTGCGAGTTTTATGTCTAAACTATTAGGTGTTCATAGAATTCCCGGTAAGATACGGCTAGGTGGACTTATTTTTAAGATTTTTCATATTATACGTGCCTCTCAACAAGTTATTGTACATATTTATAGTCCATATGAATTAAGATGAACGCATAAAACAACTATTCCACGTATGCGCCAGAGCGACTAAAACTAAAGCATCTCATCTCCAAAACTATTATTTTGCGAATTTTATACCTAAATAATTGAGTGTTTGTAAAACTTCTACGAACTCATATTAAAATACTCCCTTGAAAAATATGACCTGCTATGTGAACATCACATTACAAAAAAATCCTCAAAGAGTTTCAAGTGGCAGTGCACGTGGAATTTTCTTTTCGAGTAATCGGTAAAACTCCTAAATAGCATTGTTTTGCGAGTTTTATGTCTAAACTATTAGGTGTTCATAGAATTCCCGGTAAGATACGGCTAGGTGGACTTATTTTTAAGATTTTTCATATTATACGTGCCTCTCAACAAGTTATTGTACATATTTATAGTCCATATGAATTAAGATGAACGCATAAAACAACTATTCCACGTATGCGCCAGAGCGGCTAAAACTAAAGCATCCCTTTCACCGAAACAAACAACCTAATGTCTAATTTAGGTATGAAGCTTGCAAAATGAGTATTATTAACACATTCACTCTACATCTTGTTGCATCAAACAATATGTCCCGATCATTTTCCCCTTTGCATATATACTCCTTTTTCCCTCTTTTAGTTTCGAAACAAAAACCATCATAACCAAAAGGTGAAATTGATACTACTTTTTGAAGTAGTGGAATAATCAACTCATTTATTAAATCCAACTCGGATTACATTACATTATGTTCGAAATTGCAGACAGAGTTACCTAGAAAAACCCTTTCATTTTCCCTTTTCCTCCTGCGCAGTTCTTCTTGATTTCATCATTCAGAGAGAGAGGAAAAAGGGGGGCAAACAAACATGTCAGGCGGAATCGCGCGTGGTCGTCTTGCTGAGGAACGCAAAGCATGGCGTAAGAATCACCCACATGTACGTCCTTTTCTACTCTTTATTTATACCCTCTTCCTTTCAATTACTATGTCTATTGATACACAGTAATGGGTTTTCATTTGATGAGTATGTTAACTTTATGGGTCTCTTCTTTTCTTTTTTAGGGTTTTGTGGCTAAGCCGGAAACAGGTCCAGATGGGTCTGTTAATTTGATGGTGTGGCATTGTTCTATCCCTGGCAAAACTGGGGTATGTGAAGTTTCTTCCTTTCTTCACGAATTTCTCCGTTTTTTTTTTGTAATTTTTCTGGAGATGTTTTAGTAGTATTAAAAATGGAAAGCTAGAGTATTCTGATGATTTTTTTTTGAAATTTGTTTCTTGGAAAATCCCCATTCCTTGTCCATAAAAATCTCGGTGTTTGCATGAAACCACATTAATTTATCACGGTTAAGTGATACACATTGGCGGAGCCACATACACACTTTTTAGATAGATAAAAACTACTGATTTGTTATGTATATATTGAATCCCTTGGCTTCTTCGTGTATTTATTTTTTTAAATTTTGACTCCCTTTAGTGATAATTTTGGCTAGGTTACTCGTGATGCATTGAGAATTGAGATGTGGAATACATATTAGTTAATCGTGATAGGTTTGGTCCAACACTGGGTGGTGGATAAGTTTTCTTCGGGTGGAAATGGAGTGTTTGTTGTGCCTAGCCTTTCTCTTGCATTTAAGAAATAGGTTTCCACACCTTGCATCAAAAATGTGATCTACAGGTCATCAACAGCACTACCATTGTGCCAAAGATCATCCTCTCCTCGTCCATGATTGGGATTTTGTAGACTGGAGTCTGTCTAGTTTCTACAGACGCCTTTTTTTCGTTGCTTGCTTGCCTTGGTATCTAAAAATTAGTGGTTTTGCACTATAATTAATCCTTTTTTTGTACGTTGATGAGGATGTTAATTGATTCCACATTAATATGAAGAAAATATTGCGGAGTTTAATCAGTACCTAAACAAATCAATTTGGATATATTTCACAGCCGTTATGGGAAGTGTTCAATTATATTGGTTGTGACTCACTTAGTTTTCTTTTGATTTACTTCACTGTATAGACCATTAAAGCAAGGAATTAAATAGAAGTGAAGAGAATTTGGTAATGGGGGTGGGAGCTGGGAACTGGGAACTAGGAAGTAGATTTGAGAGATCTACGTTACGTTTAGTTGGATGAAAATAGTTGTCGCATACACTTTCTTTAATTGATTATGGATTAAGCTTAATTTCATCCACAAATGGAAAGTATTCTCTCTGGAAAGAAAAAATCAAACTCCAATCAATTGATGATCAATAAAATTACAGTTCCTGTTATAAGATTTAAAAAATATAAGGTTTCAGCTTGATCATAACAACTACTTGGAGCAACTTGCATATGCCTTTTATGTATCCTAATCCATAATCCAGGAAAATATCTTTTTTCTGTGGTTGAAGATGTTAGATTCTCCATAGGAAAAAAAGGGAACAAATATTGCATTGGAAAATAAATAATCTTGGGAGAGGGGGTTGAATTATAAAGTGCCATGCATTAAAAAATAACAATATCAACCTGAACGGACTCTTCAGGAATCTATGAATGAGTGAGAAATTAGACTTCATGATGTTTGAAATGAAGAAAATATTGATCCCTTAGGTGAAATTTTTTGTAGTCTAGTAGTGCATTTAGAAATCAGGCAACAAACAGGTCTCTCTTGGATTATCTAAAATCTATAAGAAAGACCCTTTGATGGTGTTCGCAAAATTCATCTTACTGAACTATTCATAAAGGTTGTAGTTGGTGATTTTATGAATGGCATTGCCAGCTGTAGACCTGAAATCAATTTACAGTTACTTTATGGGAGTCACTTAAATCCTTGGAATAGCATTTGCATTTTGGTATTGAGAGGGCAGCGAAGAGGTTCTTACGTTGTGCTAAACAAAGTGAGAAAGTTACTCGTACAGCCTGGTAAGGTAAGTCTGTGCATTTTTCCTGGATTATAGTATAAAACGTAAGAAGAACATGAACTTTGCAAGAATGCAGAAGACCATTTTCCCGAATACCAATAAGGTTTAAACTTTAATAGCTTTAATATAAATTAATTGCATAAGAGTGAGAGCATGTTGTGTTGAAATGCTTGCTTTTAGTTAGCGCCGCCATTTGTATTTTCTTTCCTTGACCACAAAGAGAAAATGCTTGGTCTTAGTTCTGTTAGTGACTTGCAGTTAACAATCATGCGACAATCTTTTGTGCATGGCATATGCGACTCTCTCTCTCTCTTGAGTTTCAGGAAGATGCTAGTCCTAGAAGCTTTTGGGAAGTTTATCTTATTAAAAAAATTGGGAAGTTTATGGTTTTAGTCATAGTTGGGTCATTTAGGTTTTACCACCGAACACAATTTACAAGCCTGAGCAATAATGACATGCAATGTTGTAACTGGCACAGACTGACTGGGAGGGCGGCTTCTATCCAATAACAATGCACTTCAGTGAAGACTACCCTAGCAAACCACCCAAGTGCAAGTTCCCTCAAGGTTTCTTTCATCCTAATATCTATCCATCAGGAACAGTATGCCTGTCTATCCTCAATGAGGACAGTGTAAGTTCTTGTCATTGCTGTTGTGTTACTTTGTCAGTCTTGTTTGGTATAACAGCTTCCATTTGATTTTTGTGTTGGCTATAACCTTCTTTAGGGGTGGAGGCCTGCCATTACAGTTAAACAAATTTTGGTGGGTATCCAAGATTTGCTTGACCAGCCAAATCCTAATGATCCAGCGCAAACTGATGGTTATCAGCTATACATGCAGGTAGTCTACTCAAGCTTGACATGTATTTCATTGACCTTTTTTGAAGAAAAAAATTAAATTAAGTTGACATTTTGATTATCGAAACCTTTTACCATGATAGCTTTCAATTCTGAATTAGTGAATTATGTACATAGATGCCTTGATAACAATTAATTTTTACAGTGTTTGAAATCCATAAAAAAATGTTTGAGATACTGTTGGATTGTTGAAGGGATTCCAAATGATAATTAATTGCTTCCAAATTATATTGAAATTATTAAGAAGAAAATTAACTGTCGGTTTCCATTCAGAGAATGTGGTGCATTTGAAATGCGATATTGGAGTGAACCATATAAATCCCTGTTTAGCTTGCCATTACGATATGTGACATTGCTTTTGCAGGATACTGCTGAGTACAAGAGACGAGTGAGGCATCAAGCCAAGCAGTATCCAGCTCTTATCTGACATTAGTTGTTTTGAACTATATAATTATGTGACATTGGTAGTCTTATGGACATAGTGGTTTTGTGGCTAAAATGGTGCTTTTCTTCTTTATGATTCAACAATGAATATAGACAGTATGCAACACGCATGCTATCTGTTATTTTGACAGCATGATTGGTGTATTATTTCTGGTTTTACTTGCAATTCCTTAGACAAAGGCTTTGTTTTTCTGTGCTGGCGATCCGTCTGTTGCTGATTGTGTGAAATCAAAAAAGCAATCTACTGGTCGCTATTTTGTTTATAGAAGGGCCAAAGGCCAAAAGATGATAAACTTCTCTCTCAGGTAACTGAGTTTTCTTCATGTCTTATCAAATACCCTGCTGTCACAAAAATGGAAAAAATAGTGATCTTGAAAGGTTAGACGCAGCTCACTTTTGTTAATAGCTATATTTGAGACATGGGGAAGTATTGCGTTACACTTGAGATTTTGTCATCTATAAAATATTGCATGAAACGTAACATGCTTTTCTGTTTTCCTTTTATTCTGTCTTGTGATACAAGCGAGGTCAGCATCCTTGACGCATATTTTGGGAAAATTTAGGAGGTCAGGACATTAAATTTTGGATTACTTTCCCAATGTGCCAAAAGCATGACACTTGAGCTCCTGTATTACTGCTGTTAGATGATTATAAGACGAGCCACCTTCTTCTACAGCCCTCATAACCATTGCTTCGATGTCTTTTGCTCTACTTCTGATCTTTTCACTTTCCTTGGAGGTGCTCATTAACATTTTCATGCTCTCCTCTATCTTCTCCTTCTTCACAATTGTATCCTCGATGTCAAAGGAAATGTGCCAGACCTCTGCCCCAACCCCAATCCCACATCCAAGAAGCTCTACCAGCTTCTCATTGTAGAACTGCTCTGCGAACAAGGGCCATGTAAGCATTGACACTCCGGCTGTGAGAGATTCCAAAGTGGAATTCCAGCCACAGTGAGTCATGAACGCTCCAGTCGCTGGATGGTTCAAAATCTTCAGCTGTGGCACCCAACCTCTGACAATCAAACCTTTGTTGTTTGTAAGCATCTTTTGTTCAAAGCCAATTGGCAGCCAGCTTTCTTGCTCATTTTCCTGGGTTTTGTCTCCCTTTCTCACCACCCAAAGAAAAGACAAATCCGAGGCCTCAAGAGCCAAGGCAATTTCAGTGAGCTGAGCATCAGAAAACCTTCCCATACTTCCAAAACAAATGTACACAACAGAGTTTTGTTTTTGAGAATCAAGCCAACTTAGGCTGCTGTCTCGCTCTTGAACTGCAGCGTTTCTTGATTTGCTAATTGCCTCTTCTCTCTTTGAAAAATGAAACAAAGGACCAATAAGCCAGGGTTTTTTACCTTTGATTTTCTGATAAAGCTCACCATAACTAGGCTCTAGATCATAGATAGTGTCATGAATCATGGCATAGCTCCGAGGTTCTGATTCTTTAATTCTCTTCATCAAATCCCAGTATGGTCCTTCCGGTTTGCTTTTCACATCGTCTGGTAGTTGAGATCTTTTCATTTCAATCTTATCAGGCAAACCTGGAACCAAGAAACTTTCCGAATCTGAACTTACCTTCTCATGAGGGGTATACAGCTTCAAACAATGTTCCACACACTGGAACATAACGTTTGTCGAGTAAAACATTAGTCTAGGTATCTTCAGTTGCTCAGCTACACCCACAGTCCATGGAAAGAACAAGTCTGAAATGATGCTATGGGGACGAAGCTCAAAGATAAGATCTTCCATGGGTTTTTGCAGCAAAGCAATACCCATAAATACACCTGTAGCCATTTCTGTGGTTGTGGCTGCACTGAAGTTCTCGATTCCTTCGGGTATGCCAACTTCAGCTGATGGGAACTCGAGTTTGTGAACGTATATTTGGTGTCCAGAATCGATGGCATGATCGGTGGAGGACTCGAAAAGGAGGGGGTGGTGATAATACTAACTTTGACACCATGGCTAGCAAAAAGTCTGGCTGTATCAACTAAGGGGATCATATGACTTGGTGTCAAATATGGAATGAAAACTACATGGAGTTCACCATTTTCTTGCGCCATGACTGACTAGTAGTCACTGGTTAGAGGGCTTTGAAAATGGAGGAATGGTATACCTACACTCATATAGCTTATTGGGTTTAAAAAATGTTGATTAAGTTTCATTGAAGTCACCGCCGAGTTGTTGTTGATCCTTTGACTGGAGAATATGTCGTAACAAGAAGACTTTGGCCTGCTTTAACAATTACAAGATAGAATCCAAAGGGAAAGCTGTATACTCAAAAGTGCCAATTTTTAGACGGTTTTGACTTGTATGGACACCCTTCAATCACATAGTAGTACTATTTACTCGCTTTCTAACCTTAAAAAAGAATATTAAAACTCCATTTGGCCTATTGTACTAGGTCACAGGACTGCAATAATCGCCAGCAGCAGCAATAGGGGATTCTGCCGACCGAAGTACCGTCTTGTTGGCATATCGGATCCTCCAAAAATTATGCATTTTTGGAAGATTCAACACAAGTGTGGCGATACTTTTGGAGGATGATTCGAGTAACATAGCCGACGACAAACATCCTTGTTTCATTGGCAGTAGCACTAATGTTGCAGGTGGCTAATTGCCTGTTTGGTCGAGCTTCTAAAATCAGCTTATTTTGATAAGTGCTTTTAGAAAAAAGTACTTTTGGTGAGAAACAATTTGTGTTTGACTACTTAGTTTGAAAAGTACTTTTGAGTAGCAATTAATGTTTGGCCAAACTTTTAAAAAGTGATTTTAAGTGTATTTTTCTCAAAAGTATTTTTGGGGATAAGCTATTTTTTTTTTTTTTTCTCCAAAATTATTTGGCCAAACACTTCAACTTTAAAAAAATAACTTTCTTTTAAAAATAATATTTTTGGCCTCAAGAAGCTTCTTCATGAGCCAAAAAGTATTTTTTTCTTAAAAAGTACTTCTTTCCTTAACTTGAAGAATTTTGCCAAACTTTGTTTTTGGGTGGAGACAGTATTTTTGGAAAGAAATAAAAGCAGTTTTAATTTTNAAATTTAAAGAAAAAGAATACTTTTAGCTCAAAAGAAACTTGACCAAACAGGTTATAAGTGTTGTCCTCTTTCTCATATATGTTACGCGTTTCAGTGGTCTTTAAATTGTACTTAACTGTAACATCCCTACCAACCTTGTCCTCTAGAAACCCCAAGTTTTAGGCGCTTGTTTGAATTAACAAGTAGTGTGTCATGTCCTTAATCATTAACTAAGTACACATGTGGCACTTGACAACTCGCTCACGATCTTGCACAATTTGCTCACGTTCTTGATATGCCAAGTCAGTTTTACTACACTTAAGAGCTCTAAGGAATGTTAGAACACATGAGAACTGCCAAAGGAAACTTTTGTATTAGAGAGAACTTGATTGTTTTGCTTGATGAATTTACAAATGAATGATCCCCTTTATATGCTAGTCTCGTAGGGACTAGAATGTAAATATTAATTATTACACAAGTCTTTAATATTTACAAGTAAGTCCATTCTCTAGAATTTCTACATAGCTAGAATCTTCCAAGGACTTTTTTAGCAACTTCATGGGGGTTCTTAGGTCTTCCACGAGAAATCTTCATATTTCTCTAGAACCTTTCCACATGTACTAATTTATTTCATATGTAAGTTTTTCATATCGTAAAAATATATGCTAAGTGGTACGTATATGGCATGATGACGTAACGGTCATGAGTAAGTGACTGATTATTACTTTCACTTTTGAATGCTGACTTAACCATTAACAAAGAAGAGTGAATTAAGTGGAGCTACCAGAGCACTGAGGGTTATACCTTTTGTGAAGTCAGTTTTTCATCAAACTTTAATTAGTCCAATAAATAGATAAGATCCGTAAAGTTAAGAAATTGGTGCCTAACAGAAGGTTATTGATTGAATATGGAACTGAGTAACGATTAATTACTTTCCTTTCTCATTTATTTAAGAGGAATCTTTATAAACCACTATAGTTCAGAGTTTAGTAATTATAATTTGCCTAATTACAATCCGTAACTATTATTTAATTGCTACTAACTTGTATCACTTGTATTCAAATGGGAAAAGAATACAATCTGTGCCAACTGTATTTATTTGCGTAACGAGTATTTATTTGCGCAACGAATATAACTAAGGCGAAATATAGGAAAATAAAGTGTTCTTGTTGAGAGTCGAACTCAAGACCTCCGTTAACTAAGCGGACGCTCGAATTAATTGAGCTACAAGAGCAATATTTTAGTTCAAAATAACTAATTTCTTATTTCATGAATTTGATATAAAATTCAAATATAGCTATGAATAGTAAATTTGCTAAAGTATAATTACGAATAATAAATAAAATGTACATGTTTGATGTGTCGCGTAATTTTCCCTTCATTTAATCAAGAAAAAAGAAAGGGCCAATTGAAAGCAGTGGATGAGAGATTATCGTGATAAGAATAAGAAAAGATTAGATCAATCAAAGGATTATTAGGAGTCCTCTGTCCCAAATCCACGTATCTAGCTTTTTAACAATTGAATTATCTCATCAACCACCAAAGAGTAAGACGGATGAGATTCTTCCACCCTTATTCCGATGTTTCGAATTTGAATTATGAATTTTTTTTTGTAGGGAACACTTTTTCGTAAATTGATCTTATGTAACGCATATTCGAATTAATCGAGATCTCATCACAGACTCCAATAGAAATAACGTAATTGGCTTTATAATACTTGTATGAGTCAAAATCTAACCAGACAAGAATCGGCGTGGAAAGAGACGGCGAAAAGTTACTTGGGACTGTCGTATCCATACCACGCTGTAATGACACACACCTCAGCCTTGTATTCAGAACGCCTGAGAGGCGAATTGGATGTTACAACATTTCAACGGGTCAGCACGTACTATAGTCAAATGACTTAAGTACTATGGTTAATGACCGTTGGGTAAGGGAGAAGACCTAGTATATAAACTAAGTGAAAAGAAGAAGAAAGGGGGCTGAACCAAATACATACACAGACATGTTCTCCTAGAGGAGGAGGGATCTTCATCTCTCTCCCCGTGAAGGAGAAAGAAGCAAGGAAGCTCAGATCCTCAATATATATCATTAGTCTCATCACATCAAATGTATGGGGTTCTACTTTGTTAAAGATCAGTGACCCTTTTCATCCATATATTCTTCATTGTTGTTTAATGTTCTGAAAATTGCCATCCTCTTCTTATATAATGAGATTTAATCAATATTACAGTTAAATTTTATGCTTGCTTTGTTTTCTTAGTCATATCTTCTATCTTAGATCTAGGGTAAATTATCTTTGGCTAGGATTTACCCAAAACCTTCTTAGTTAATTAATTTAACAAAAAGCTAAACACTTTTTGGTCAAACAATTTGGCGCCGTATGTGAGGATTTTCTAGCCAAAATCTTAGTTCCCTATAGATCTAAAGCCAGCCAAAGCATCACTTCCCAGTTGTCATAGCCTCACCATCTCAATATAAACACCAACTTGAAAAAGTGGTAGACAAGCTTTTGAAATAACCAAACCAATCAGGGTCAGATCTTTGCATGAAATCGAAATAATGTGTGATATCTATAAAAAATCCGCGTCTCGCTGTGGCAATGGTTTGGTACGTCGTACGAGTACTCAAAGTGGGATTACGGCCACTACGCACTTAGCACGTCCGCGATCCTATTCGTTATATTAACGTTATATATCGATAAATACTTCTACCTCTTAGGGAAGGATGATAGCCTACTGTGTGATTCTTTGAAATAACCGGCTTATCCTGCCTTATTTTTGTACCCGTATGCACAGTGAGTAATTTATGTACGGAGTATAACTTATGTTTCCCTTATTTTTGCGCATATCGGACGGGATTGTACCGGGACCCGAGCTCGAGATCCCAACGGGCAAAGTATGTCCAGCCCATAAGAAGCCTAGACGCCACTAACGACGAAGCCAAACACGAGGCTACCAAACCCGAAACTGCCATTTGAGTATGGGATAAAACGAGTTGTCCTACAGTGCCCTTCTCCCTTCGCTGACTTATCAGGTCAAGGTAACAGGCAATTTTGTTTGGGCTTAACTTGTCGTTTTTCTTTTTTGGATCGGGATAGGAACATGAGCATTCTTACAGGTGTGCGAACAAGGAAAAACGCCACCGAACACATCAGGACAACGTTCCGCATCATGCCATCCCGCAGGCAACGGTCGAGCAGAACCCTCCACACCGTACCATATTACAAAGAACGGACAAACGGCTCAGAACAAGCCGGCATTATTAAGAAAATCTCCATGACCTGGGACTGGGCGGTGAGCCCATAGAACATACACTATCCAACACAAGCAGAACATAGGCACAAAAATCTTGCACGGCTGCTCGCCATGACGATCTTGTGCCGGTTCAACCGACTAGATATTACGAATCACACCCGAACTTCGTTCGAAATTAATCAAGTCCCAGGGTGCCCAGAAGTACAAGCGACAAAATTCATCGCCCATCCCGCCAAAGAAGGGGCTAGATAGGCTGGGACTCACCCCGATGCACAGTACTCCAACGAAAGCAAAATTACACAAACTGGGACTTGCCCCGACGCACAGTACTCCAATGAAAGCAAAATTAAACAAATTGGGACTCCCCCCGACGCACAATACTCTCCAATGAAAGCAAAATTAAACGAATCGGGACTCACCCCGACGCACGCATACTCTATGCAGCAATGAGTAATGTTCTCCAATAAAAGTAATGCAACATGAAAATATCACCATCCCACCAAGCCCGCACATCGCCAAGCGA